CCTGCAGGCTGCCTGCAGCAAGGGTCAAAAGAGATACAGGGCCGCGTAATATTGATTGGCCAAGGCGGGATTATCTCTACCCCAGAAGTCTGGATTGGTTGGTGGCACCGTTCTTTTCTGAAATAAACTTGCAGGTTGATAGCAAAACTCCACCTAGCCCGCATTCTATCCAACACTTTAGCTGGCATCTATCATAAAGCTGCACGTTGTTCACAGGTCTTGATCATGCGGCCTCAATTGCGTACCTCTCCAAGAGGAATGTTCATTCCGTGCCTTCCCTTGTATGGGGAAACCTCTGCGGGCTTCCATCCGCCACGCTGCAGTAGTCCCTCGTCTTCAATCTTGAAAACCTCAACCTTGAGCGGCCTGCAGCACTTGATCATCTCCTCCTCACTATCTTCGCCGAAACCCCACAGCGACAAGTCGCCTCCAGGGCAAGTGCCTATCCAGCCTGTGTCAGTAGAGTCTGCGAAGACCTGTCGATATCCGAGAAATACTACTCACTCAAAGCCATGAGAACATCCTGCTCCGCTAGAAACTCAATGTAATCCCCTGGTCCAGCCGGGCAGGGGTTCATGAAATACCGTCCCTGCTCATCCAGGCCCGTTGACTGAAAAATGTTGATAACATCATGAACATCGCTCTCATTCAGTCCGTGAGGAATCACAGCGCGAGTGAGGTTCGAGTGGCACTGGAAATCATAGCTGCCTCCGCTGAGGATGCTGTTGATGTACGGATCACATCGTGTACCAAGCAAGTCGTGCACACGTCCGCCATGCTCATCCTTGCCGTACCACGCCAGTGTATCCGCGATGATGGTCACCAAGGGACGAATGTACGGCAAGTTGGACCACAGACGGTCTCCAACAGAGACATGACTTGCGTGCAGTTGGCGAGTGCGAGAGGCCCAGAACCGCTCGCGGGGGTTGTGAGCGTTCCAAATGTTCAGGTCGCATGCGTCATGTCAGCTTGGACTTCGACTGGGCAGTATTGCTCAACTAATCGACACCGAAACCAGTCGCACTCCGTGCTCAGGGATTGGGCATTCGCCCAAACTTACCAACTTGAGGTCCCTCAGGTGTGCTAATTCTCACAATCGAACCAGCAGGCGCCTTCCACGCCTTCCCGGAACGAATAGGCGAAGTGAACTCCTCCACCAAAATTCTAGGAGCCTTCTGCGCCGACTCGTAAAGCACCTTGTCGACGGTAAGTGGTGATCCGGCCGTGGCGAGATAAGCCGGAACGGGCTTTGGGATCGGTTTACGGTCCTTGAGCCGCTGGGCGGGGTCGATATCAGCAGCAGACATTTTCGAATTGGATTTCTATAAATTGATGCAAAATTGATCCAGAAATTAAGAAAATCATCCAGGAGGACTCTGGCTTTAAGAACATGAACGACGGGCGCCGATGATAAACCCCGCAGAGGCCCTTACGTAAAGGCCGAGATTCGTGATCCGAAGCCGCTAGTCCACCATCTCCACAGCATGACTCCGGTGTTTAGCGCACGGAAGGAGACTCCGATCAGTGTCGGAGTCTCTTGCCCAGGCGCTGGCGCACTAAGGTTCAGCGGTTCCCTGCAATGTAAGCAAAAACACCAAGACCCAAGTCATCACAACGGCAACTATACAAATTTAAGCACACAGAGGCAAGCAGTCAGTTAAAATGACAAGAGCAGGCGAAAATATCATTGCGCACATTCCTCTATTATACGCCAATGCATTAACTACCGGACTCAAACGCGCGTAAGGTCGTTGGAAGGTAAAAGTCAAAAGTCTAAAAAGAAACGTCGGCCGATGGAGATACTCCAGGCTGTGATGCCTCGTGGGCGAATCGAACGCCCGATCTCCTCATTACTAGTGAGGCGCTATACCACTTAGCCAACAAGGCTTGCTTCAGCTGGCGAGATAACATGCTAAGGACTCCAGGGGATGAGGCTGCTGCATGATTAGTGCGGTTGGCCACGAATGAGACCCATCCCCGATGAGCGACATCATGGCGAATCTCTTAGGAGGCCAGAATAAGAAGCTGGCCTGGCAATGGAACGTGTCTCGAGAACTTTTATTAGTGTGCGGCTTCATTGGTCTGGGCTGTTGAGTTCGGCTTGATTTTGGCGACGTATCAAAGACTTGACAGTGAGCCTGCGCAATGCTCTTTCAACCCCAGCTACCGTGTGAAAGAGAAATCGTAAATGCAACTCAGACACCGACCTGGAGTGGCCCTCTCTCAGACCTGTCCGTCCACGTCGTTATACCATCATCCGGCGTCAGTCTACTCGATATCTCTCACCATCCAAATAGACCCCTTCTCGGCAGTAGGCCAGACCCGGAACCCCATCTTCTCATAAAACTTGACAACCTTCTCATTCTCTCCACCAACACCAATGTGCCATCCCTTGCCATACAACCTCTCGTCTCCACCCTTGGCCTTATCAGCCTCTCTCAGACTCTCTTCAAACTTGCCAATCAACTTCCTTCCCCATCCCTTGCCCTGGTAGTCCTCAAGCAGGTCGATGTGCATCGTGCCCTTCCACTCTCCCCACAGGTCCTTCCTCTCATCGTCCAGCACAAGCCACGTCGGGTTCCAAGCCTGCTGAAGCAAAGCCTCCTCGTTCACCTCTCCCGACGGCAAGTTCCACGGCGCCTTAGTCTCAAGGCTCTGGGGTCGTCTGCCAGTCAACTCCGGTGACGTCTCAAGCACTTCCTTGACGTAGCGGTCATACGCGGCCGCGAAGTCGTTGACGTTGGGGCAGCCGATGCAGTACCCCACCACGCGCCCGGTGCCGTCGTCGAGGACGTGGCAGGTTGATGGCGAGAGGAGCGTATACTGGTGCGTCCAGAGGAACGGCGCCATCCGAGTGCCTGCCTCGGATTTGTCGAGGGAAGGAGGCAGGGTTGCGCGGCACTGGGGATGAGGTTAGCAGGGCTTGCGGATGTGGGATGGCGGGTGCGCACGATGTGTGCAGTGTCCTCGAAATCCGAGGGTTTGTAGTTGCGGATGAAGGCCATGGTGACGGAACCGTTTGTTGGCGTGCGTTGACGAGAGGACTCGACGTTATCGCTGGGCCTCAGAGCGCTTCAGCCGGCAGGTGTGATACGTCACGGTCGAGCGGGGTTTCCTCTGATGATGGTTCGTGGTGAGTGATGTCGACTCAAGCAATCCGATGTGGGTATTTCAGCCAAGTGTGGGAGATGGTTGTGATACTCGACTGGATTCGGTAGGAGGGCAGGAGGACTCGATATCAGTTGATGCTTACGGAAGGTTCGACGCCCGGTCATGGGGCCGTTTTAAGTAGCGCCCGGCCGGCATTCCGGGCCGATGCTGGTTCCCCCGCATCGCGCTGCAGAGTTGCGCCCAAAATGCCACCTTTCATCTCATCTCACTGGAGACTCCCAAGCGGCAATCGTGCATAAAAGTAATTTAGGATTTAAGCAATACTCTGTGAATAGAAAACAGAAACCACATCCGCTCCATTGGCGCCAGCCACGTCGCTTGCTTGCTCCAGATCCAACAACACCTTCATCCATTACTTGGGCACACAAACACATGACGCCGCGTTGTTCCCGGTACACGCGCTGCCCCCGCGTTTCTGGAAATTCCAGCGTCAGTACAGTACGGTGGCTCATGAAGTCTGTAGAAGCTGAACTCACCTTGCCTTGCTTCCCGCAAAGCTCGTCGCAAATAGCGACAGAATCGCACCCCGTTCCTGGCGTTTGTGGCAGTGCGCTCGCGACGCAGATAAAGGTCACGAAGAGCATTGAGAGGGAGAGGACCTTCATGTTTGCGGCTCTTGGAACGTCACTCAAGCGAAATATTTGGACAAGTCTGTTTCAAGGCTGAAGGTTCTTTGTGTGGCTGTGAAATCAATCAACTCCTCAAAACTTGGAGAAATGCTGACAGGCGCGTCTTTATACAACTGAAAACTCCCGCCGGGCCGTTTTTTCGACGGGCAAGTTATCGAGTTCTGCGTATCTGTTGAGACCTATATCGCGAATGCCATACCGAGTAGCCTTTGATGCTCCTGGTCCCAAGTTTCAGACGACATCACCCGAGTCATTTTCACAAGCTGGCAAAAGCGGGCGATCTTCCCATATCCGGGGGTTATTTCCCCCGCGTGTCCGCCTGAGACGTGATAAAGTTCGTCCAAACATCACAGAAGCTTTCCCCCTCGCGCTCGTCAGGCCAGACTGTCGGGTTACTCCCGCCCAGCTCTCCATCACAGACATGCCCTCGTGCTATGGTATAAGAAAGGCCACCCCGTTTGAAGATGTCTCCGTGGATGTGTCATGTTTCACCGCGCAGCGAGGCCTCTCTCCATGCGTCGTTTCCTGAAACTTGATCAAGGACACGGAGATTTCGGAAAAATATCTTGTCCTGGAAATGCAATCCCGAGACTGAGGGCCACGGAAGATTCAAGGACGGCGGCCTGGATTCAACCGCGGAGTTTTGACCTGCGGCACTGCATCTCGGGTCTTGATTCTGTCATGCGGCGATTTCCATGGCTTGCCCAAGTCTGAAAGCGCGCGTTAGTAGCAGGCTCAATGTCGTACTGAGAATAGTCTGAGTCAAGCTGAACCTGACGGAACGACAGCTCTGGTTAACTAGACCAGCTGACACGTTGCCATCCGCGGCATCACAGAGATCATGGCCATCCTCACATCATAGTTGTCATTTATACACTGAGTGATTCCCTATCTACCAAGGCCCCATGCTTCTCTTTGCAACAAGCCGACCTGTGTTCTATCTCCCTCTTTCTTCTTCCCCTAACACTTCTGCCACAGGCGCCTGCTAATACACTACTTCTTTATTTCTCAGCTATATATCACTTCAGACTTACTTACATCCGGGCGTCTGTCTGATCAATCTATCCACTCAGAGAACCCACACACAACAATCAAACCCCGTTTTTCATCCCAGCCAGACCGAACGCACACTTCGCGATGCTCCGTAGCACTCTCCGTCGCCACACGTCCCAACAAGTGGGTCGTCACCCACCACATCAAGCCCTGATGGTCTAGCGGTATGATTCTCCCTTAGGGTTGTCTTCACGACGCCTCATGTCTGGGAGAGGTCCCAGGTTCGATCCCTGGTTAGGGCCCAATCATTTTGCAGATTGCATCAATGTTTCATTTTTTTAATCGCGTTTTCTTGCGCCTGCTTTGCTTTGTAAGTCAGCTTCATTTATACGTGAACTAGCAAGCTATCTAAAATGCATTAAATAGCGGCTTATAATAGTGAACTAAGTTAGTAGAGGATTGAGTGTAGGACGGCCTTTAGTGCTTCACTGCGATTTTAACCTTGTCAGAGGGGACAGGTATTGCGGCGGGGTTGCGCGGGGTTTGTCAATATCGTTGAGACCACGCCTGCGCCGAGGACTTGAGGAAGTTGTGCATGCGACATTGTTTGTCTGGCCTTGCTCGAGGAAGAGAGTACGTGTTAGTACCAATCATCAATATAGCCACGAGAGATATGTCGGCGATCCATCCGGAGCATCAAGGGCCGGTGAGGTTGTGGACTGACACCAAGAGAAACATTACACTTGTCAAACACGAATGTTCACAGGAAGAAACGATGTGAAGCCCGAATGATTTGATTTTTCCCACGGTACGCTACCTAGTACGTGGTATATCGGCCTAACGTACCCCATCCTTAATACAATATAGAAACACTCTGGTATTCTCCAAATTGAAACCACCATGCACCCATCTTCCAAAATATTGAGATCCTGCACGCGGCAGACGCCAGGCCCACCTCCGACACGCACTCCATTTACCGCGAAACCCAGGACCCCGCCTAATTAAGATCTCTCCAGGAGTCAAGATCCAATAAGTCGCTCACCCACACAAGGGCAACGAGTGAGAAGGAGTGTAAGAATAAGAAATATACAATAGAGACCACACCATTGTGCGGTGATCATGTGATGGGAAATAGAAAGTAAAACGACAGTATAGAAAGGGTTTTCATAGATTCGTCATGACCATTTTCTCTCCCGTCCCCTTTTCCAGCTATCCGTGCGATAATGGGAGTAGATTAGAATCGAAATAGAAATATTGTAACCAACTGAAATGTCTTAGATCATGCCGCCCGGCATGGAGCTGTTGTTAACGCCGCCGGGAATAGCCGTTGGAGGACTGTTGCCCCGGTTCATGCGAGCACGCATGTTCATCCCGTTGGCCTCGCTGATGGTCTTGCGTAGTCGGCGTCGCTGGCCCCCTTGGGCATCCTCATCGTCGCTGATGGAGAAGGCGCTGTTGCCGTCACCATTGGGGTCGCTAGCCATTGGTGGCGGCGGCGCCAGAGGGAGATGAGGAGAACTAGCGCCCATATCCTCCTCGCCCCTGCGGCCAATGATGGAGCCAATCATGTTGCGGCGCTTGGGGTTGATCGGAGGCACTGGTGGAGGGTTGATGTTGGCATGAGCATGAAGATTAGGCGTGGATGCGGCGGCACCCAAGATGCTTCCCGACCGCGATCGAGAACCGCTCCTCGAGCGAGCCTCTGACGTCTCAGGAAGAGCAACGGTAGGGACCCGGGAAGTAGACGATACAAAAGTGGGCTCAGAGATATCCTTCTTCTTGACAACTCGCTTCATCGACTCATCAAGGCGGGTGACGGGAGCATTCTCCGCCGCAGGAGACGGAAGCGGAGGAGCAGACGGCCGGCGAGGCGGGGGGCTGAAGGTAGGCGTGGACTGACTAACAGGAATCTGAGGCGAAGGCATGGGTGCCATCGGAGACACCGGGGATGGTTGACCGGAGTCGGGTCCTCTGCGACGATACTGAACAGCGAGATTGCCCTGGGATGCAGATCGATCAAGGGCCTTTGGGGCAGCAGCAGCTCCAGGGTATGGCTGGGGAGGCATATGCGGCGACCGGCGGATGTTGGTACCGGGCAAACCGGGAGACGGCATCAGCGGCCGAGAAGGCGGGGGTCCGTTAGGACTGAGTCCTGCTTGCCGGTCCTCATACGGTGACGAGACGGTGCGAAGTCTGGCAGGGCGCTGAGCTCTCTCACCGTTGCTCGCCTCGGAACCGCTACGGTCCCGCTCCGTGCGTGACGGAGGGCGCGATCCGCCACGCCCAGGTCCTGCACCAGGTTGAGGCTCTTCGCTTGGCGTCCGCTGGTAAGTCACGGGAGGAGGACGGCGTTCGCGCGACGGAGAGCGAGTGCCCGGGGTGCGGTCTCGGCTTGGTGCCGTGCGTGATGCCGGGGGTCCTACCATGGCGCCAATCGTAGAGCCGCCCAGAGCGCCAGGCAGAATGGGCATTGTGCCGGATGTCGGGCTACGCTGAGCCTCCAAGAGCTGCTTGCGAGCCTGTCTGAAAGCCCGCAACCCAGCGTGCATTGAATCGTCTTCCTTGGGTTGCTCCTGTTGGGGTTGAGCAGGTGCCGTCTCAGCTCTGGCAATTTCAGGCCTCTCGCGCTCCTCCTTGCCGAGGGATTGGCGCTCATTCTCCTCAAAACTAGTCTTGTTCGGGCTGGGAGCGCTGCTAATTGTCGAAGTGGCCAGTCCCAGCATCTTGATCGCCTTGGCATGCTGGCTGTTCTCACGGTTAGGACGGTCGGCCAAAGAACCTCGGCTAGTCTTGGACCTCAAAATTCCAAGAGGGTTAGGCCGAGGCAATGAGGGCTCTCTGGTGCGCTCAAAAGAGTGAGGGGACAAGGAGCGAGACAGAGATCGGCTGTCACGATCAGACTCCACATAGGACGTGAGTCTCTCTCGGACCCTGCGCTGGGCATCCGCCAGCTGGTTGGCAAACTCGTCGTGCTCCTTCTCCATCTCGGTGCTGGAGCCGGTATGACGCTCAGAAGGCGCTGTTGGTGGGTTCTCCCTCGGGACTGGCGCAGGAGCGGAAGTAGGAGCGGGCGGCAGTGCAGAGGTGGGCGGCGGTGCAGAGGTAGGCGCCGGAGCCTCCTTGGTCTCCTTGATCTCCTTGGTGGCCTGCTCGTTAAACATCGGGATCGTCGGAGACTGCCAGTCTGGCGACTGCACTTCCCAGGGGTTTGCCGTTACTCCCAAGTCAGCCAGGGATGACGGGTCGTAAGGATCAAGCGGGAATCTGGAGGCGAAAGTGGATGTTTGAGGTGCCGAGCCGTAGATAGACGAGGTGTTGCTGTCTGTTCGGAGATGGGCGCGAACCATGCCGCTGAGGCCTGCAGATGAAGGCAGGGTTGGCGAGTCTTGTGGCGCGCCGAGCTGGTCGGCGGGTGCTGAAGGGAACGGTTGATCAGAAACTGGGGAGGGCTCAACTGACTCTCTGCCGCTGAGTGAAAGTGGAGTGGGAATGGCCGAGTCTCTGAAAGCGGGATGATCGCGGTCCGCTGGTCGCCTGGTGACCATGGGGGACAACTGTGCCTCCTCTTCCTTCTCGTTGTAGTAAATCGACGCGGCATCTTCCTCCTCCAACGTAGGCTCAACCTGGACGACGGGCTCAGGTCTCTCAATAGTCTGTCTCTGTGCGGACGAAGACGACCGGGAACGACCAGTGGTTTGCGAAGCATTGGACTCGGTGCGGAATCGGTTGGTAGGTGTCTCTCGACCTTGCTGGAGTTGAAGTTGCCTCTGGGCGTACCTGGTATCGTCATAAGAGTGAAGAGGCTTCTGGAACATACCCATGGCTGTGGCCTTGCCTCGGTCGTTGGGAAGAATCGAATGTTCCTCCCCTTCACTGATGGGCGGGCTCAGAGGCGGCGCACCGCCAAACGAGGGCCTCAAATCCTGATTCCGGATACCCAAGTCCATTGGTTGGATGGGCGATGCGGCCGTCGGCGGGCTGGCAGATCGCAGATTGGGCGCGCTTCCCTTGGCCAGTATTCTGCGTTCACCAAATCGGTCCGCAAAAAGACCCGTTGTTGGCGAAGGACCGCTCTGAAGGTCGGGTGTCCTGCTGCCGAAGCCACGCTGTCGGGAAAGCGTGTCCATGCGGGACAATGCCGAAGATTGTTGCTCCTGAAGCTCGTTGTTCAGACCTGTCTCGTAGAGACGCTTCGTGCGGGTCATGCTTCTTTCAAGCAGAGGAGTGCCCGCTGCAGAACTCGGCGCGGTTGATGAAGACTGCCAATCCTTGGTGGAAGATGTTGGTTGTGACATCACAGAGGTTGCAGCAGTGGAGTTGCGGCCGAGCGATGGCGTTGAGGAGGTTGTTGAATTTGTCTCCCTGTTGCGGTTGTAGCCGGCGGGAGGGGGGGATTCCGCGCGTGCGAGATCGAGGCTTGATGTGGATTGAACCAGGTCCTGGTCATCGTCGAAAGACATCTTCGCCTTCTCCGTCTGCCTCCATTTCTGGAAAGAGGACATGGCAACATCGTCATCATACAGAGCACGGTGGCTCATTCCGCCTCCATCGACATTCTTCGTCGACGCGCTTCCTGAGGCAATCTTATAAATCTTCTGGCGTCCACCAAACAAGTTGTTCCCTTCTCCCGGCTTGGACCGGTCCATGATGCTGCCTGAGACAGAGTTTCCGTCTGAGGAGTGGAATGAATCCATGCGATCCATACGGGCAAAAGGGGCCTCTTTCCTAATGGACTCAACCTCAGCAATGTCCGAGAGACCGCTCGCACCAGCGCCGAATCCAAAATCCATTCTTGATGCACGCTTGGGGAAAAGGACGCTGTCGTCGCTAGCCTTGCCGATCTTGGTGTTCGGATCATCTTGCTCTCTTAGCATCGAGAACCTCGCTGAAAGACCAGTCATCAATAGACTTGTGCGGAAGTCGTCGGACGAGGGTAGGGCATTCTCAAGGTCGAGTTCTTTCTTGGGCTCCTCCTCCTGCGACTTCTTGCCCTTGCCAAACAATCTGAAGGGGGCAGGAGATTCAGACTCCTGAGAGGCCCGGGGCGTGGACGAGGTATCATCCTTGGCCCTCTTCTTTGTGCGAAAACGGTTCATTGTGACTGATTATCGAGAAACCGACAAGCTGAACAATCGTGTTTCGACGGGTTAGTGAGCTCGGGGGTTGCTCTTCATTAGACAGCTTCCATTAATGGTGGTTGGGATGGTAGATCGAGAAGTTGGGATGAAAGGGCGAAAGTTTGTTTGAAACTGGAAAAGTCGTTGTCGTCGATTGGCCAAGAATGCGTCTGAAGATGGGATGC